GGCATCATTTTATGGCATTTGTGTCTCCACAGCTCTGCATAAGGCTGAGCTGAAAGCTGCTCTTGTGTCTGGCTTGGTGGAGAAAGGGATAGTGGGTCTGCCAGTCTACCTGAGCATGGTGTAACGTCTCAGCCTGTTCCACAGGTGCCAGATCAAGCTGTAGCTCCTTCAGTGTCTACGCCTGTTGCTCAGGAGATCCCTGAGGACAAGCCGATGACACTGCCTCACTTCGAACCACTCTCCATAGAGTCATCAGTAGGTGCGAAGCAGGATGCTAGGCTACGTGTCCGCCTGGCTCGTCTCCAGTTGGAAAAGGAGGATCGTGAGAGGGAGTTCCAGCTAAAGGAGTTGGAGCTTAAGCGTTTAGACACAGAGCTTGCCAGAGCCAGGGAGGTTGAATTGAAAAAGGTGGAGGCGGAGACAGCTGTTAAGTTGCGACAGTTGGAACTCCAGCAGGCTTCCCTTTCTCCGGCTGCCTCCATTCGGCAGGCAGACACACCATTTGATGTAGGGAAAAACAGTCGTCTGGTTCCGGTGTTCCGCGACACTGAGGTTGACAGCTACTTCGGGTGGTTTGAACGAATAGCCACAGCCTTACACTGGCCACGGGAGTCGTGGGCCATTTTGCTACAATGTAAGCTGGTAGGTAAAGCTCAGGAAGTTTGTTCCTCATTGTCAGGTGAGGACAGTCTGACTTATGACAAGCTGAAAAGTGCCATCCTTCTAGCTTATAAGCTCGTCCCAGAAGCCTATAGGCAGCGTTTCTGGGGATTAAAAATGGGACAGGGTCAATCCTACCGAGATTATGCAAGGAAGAAAAGTATGCTTTTTGATCGGTGGTGTGTGTCCAGCAAAGCTACTGACCTGGCGTCGGTTCGTGAATTAATGCTGATAGAGGAATTTAAGAACTGCGTCTCCAAGCGCATCGCAGTATACCTCAGTGAACATAAGGTGTCCTCATTACAGCAGGCTGCAACACTGGCTGATGAGTTTGCCCTCATCCATAAACCAGTGTCATTAAGAATGACCAACGCGACGCCTCAGTGAAGGTTAGTGATGTGCCAGCTGCACAGTACCCAAAGAGTGAGGTACTTGTGTCCCATCCCAAAGCAAAACGGAAGCGTTTTCTGTTTAAAGTCTGGCCATTTGATAGCAAATTGTGAGGCCTACAAACAGAAACAGTTGGTCTCGAGGGCTAGGAGTGTGCCAGCTAGCAAAGCTGATACAGGTGTGGTTTCAAGATCCAAAACAAAGCTCTGTTTCTTCTGCCACAAACCTGGCCACCTGATTGCTCACTGTTCGAAAGCCAACTCAAGGCAAAATCGATCTGCTTTCAAAAGAGTGAACTGTGGTTCGCAAACAGACAAAGTTGCCAGTCCTAGGCAACAATTGGAGCATAATTGCTCAGTGGTCTCATTTGGTGAATGTCAGAGGTCGACTAATTCTGAGCTGCCACCTGTTGACCATCTTCCAGATGACCTACAGTGTGACAGATTGTGTGTGACACAACCATTCCAACCTGCACCTCTGGCTAAGCAGCATGCCTTTCGCCATGACCTAGCGAAAAAGCATCAGAAGTGTTGCTGTAAGGCCTTCTAGCTGCCTTACGGGTTCTCCATATGTGATGGCTCAAAAAACATCTGGCTGTCACTTGAGACACTATGTTGAGGGACTTGAGCCAACCCCGTGCAGTGTTTTCAACCCATCAAAAAGGTCTTGGCAGATTTGGCAGGGTATGCCTAACTGTTATTATGGTGCATGGTAGGTATATGTTTAAAGGTTGGGTAGGACGTTCTGTGACAAACCACTGGTTTGTATTTATGGGAGGGGGTGTTACGGCCCTAGCTGGGCCTCCTGAAACTGTCCTTGTGTGGGTGTGGTTTTTCTCTCCGCCTCTTCCTCTCTTGTTACACCCCTCTGTCTCTCTCTCACTCTCCTCTCTCCCAAGGACACAGCTGCTCTTGATTAGCCTCGTTGGCCACATGAATCCAGTCAGCAATCACCTCTGAGGCTATTTAAGCTGGGGGTGAGCTGTGAGCAGGGTGGTTTGTCTGGGAGAGATCCTATAGTGTGGAAGCATTGTGCAGTGTAACTGCTTCACGTGAGTAGTGTGGGCTTGTGGGCCTCGGCAGCAGTAAAACTAGCTGCTGCTAGTGACAGGGGGAGCTTGTGGGCCCTTGGAAGTGCCTCCTCGTGGTGTGGAGTTTTTTTGTTTTGTTTTTTTGTTTTTTTGGTTTGGTTGTTGTGTTCCGTGTTTTTGCAACCTTTTTCCAAGTGTTATTGGTAAAACGACGTTGCCGGCTCTTTATGTTAAGATTATCTATAATAAAGACTATTTTATTTGCTAAAAACACCTGTCTGTTTTCCTTTTCATTCTGTTTCCGGACCCATTTGTTACTGGTCCCCTCACTCGCAGTGTTGGGGAGTAACGGAATACATGTACCGCCGTTACGTATTTAGAATACAAAATATGAGTAACTGTATTCCGTTACAGTTACCGTTTAAAAAGGTGGTATTCAGAATACAGTTACTTTGTTGAAATAAATGGAATACACTGGGGTACTTTCCTGTTTCATTTTGTCGCGGGTCAGGACTGTTTGGGTTTTGTTTGACAGCTACGTTCCTTTGTTCCAGGCGGCAGCGTTACGGTTGCCATGGTTACAGGGCGACGCTCTCTCTCTCTGCGCCTTTTCGTCGTTGTTGTTGTTGTGCTAAGCTAACAGGCAGAATGCTACAAGCATAGCTCTAAAGAATGTAGCATCATGTTCAGTGTAGTCCGTGCTGCTGGGAGAATGGACTGCCATACACGTTATGTGTCTGTGAGCGCTAGGAGGGAGAAAAAGGGGAGTGGAAAGGTACGAGCAGTCATCGAGCAAAAACGGGAGCTGGAAGCATGTAAATATAATAATAACCACTGCAGCCAAGAAGAGTGCCTGACGAGCCCAGTTGTAAGTAAGCTATTAAGACTCGACTGTACACTGTGTTCGTGTTTTCCTCCGAAAACAACAAGTTCCGTTGGAGCAGCCTTTCAACGCCTCTCTCTGTCTGTCGCAAGAAAAGTTGACCCACACAACAAAGTAGTGATGGGATTTCCGGCTCTTTTTACAGATCCGGCTCTTTCGGTTCGGCTCACTAAAAAGAGCCGGCTCTTTCGGCTCCGAACCGGCTCTTCAGGTTGTTTTGTTGCTTTAATTAATTTATTATTAACAATAATATAAAATTATGCACAAAAGGAATTACTAATGTAAAAAAAGTAGTTTTATTTATATATGTTTATATATAAATATATGCGGTGGCCCCTAGAGACAAAACACTACAAACTCCAAAACACATTTCTAGCATGAACTGAACTTCCAAAGCAGAGCTACTAGATCACTTAAATTACACAATTGAAAGCATGTGTGTATTGTTTGTGTATTTATACACAGGCACATATATATTGGTCGTGAGGATTATATATAGATAGATAGATAGATAGATAGATAGATCTATCTATCTATCTATGACCAGCTCCCGATCATCAATCGCTTGGTCGTGAGGATATATATGTATATATATCCTCACGACCAAGCGATTGATGATCGGGAGCTGGTCGTGAGGTGTCAATCGCTTCTCGTTACCCCACGTATACTATACGACGCACGATGAAGGCCAAAATCGGGCCGATCGCCAAAACGATCGCACGACTCAAAATGGGCCAAAAATCGCACAGTGTGAGCCCAGCATTAGTCAGAGGTCCCTTTACTACAGTTCGGAGTCGCGGACCTTCAGTAATAGTAATAAATCACACAGCAATAGTACATTCACGTTGTTGTAAAAAGCATGATAATATTGTAGCGGCTCAGGGCTGTTCGGGGTTCTGCTTGTACAGTTGTTTTGTGTATGTTGCCATGGTGACGGGTGACGCCCTCTCGCTGCGACGGTGTGTCCTTCCGGGGTCAGAGGGCGCCCTATGTGTGTTGTGGTTGCCGCGCTGAGCAGTTAGCTAGTAGCAGTGTGTTCTTCTGCAAATGTAATAAACGGCTGTGCTCCCTGGCTAGCTCACGGGAAGCAAGACCAAACGATACCTCCGTCTCCTCCTTGTCTGAACTCGCCACAATATATTAAGTAATCCAAAGTATTCAGAATACGTTACTGTCATTGAGTAACGTAACGGAATAGGTTACAGAATACATTTTGGGGCATGTATTCTGTATTCTGTAATGGAATACATTTTAAAAGTAACCTTCCCAACACTGCACTCGCACGCCTAGACCCCTTCGGGGGGGACGTAACAACTTAACTTTAAAAAATGTTTAAAATACACAATACTCATATTATGGTAGGTTCTGCAAATCACGTACTGAATTATTCTGAATTTATAAACAGCGAAACACTATTCTACTGAAACTGCCATCTGAAATGTCTTATAGAAGTTATAGTATATTATCTATAAACGTACCTGTCCGCTTGTTAATTACTTAATCACGTGGAGGCAAGGACCTCGCAGCACAAGCATACTCCCAACCTATTGTAAGATTGTGCTGTACATTATTATATATATATATAGTGTATTTTTTTTATTAGTAAAAAACGAAGTCACAAGCAAAAGGAGAAAACACCATGGCACATGTTTAAACAAGGAAAGTTTATTCATCTAATAAAATAGACATAACATTATTTTTTTTCACCCAAAAAACATATTCAAAGCACCAGATCAGCCCGATATCACACAGTACTGTCACATGAAACAGAAGCTCTGCAGAGCGGCCAATCATAATGAAGCAGGTCATTATTTGTTCTTGATTTAAGCTGTTCTTCATATTTCTAGCCACCAGATCTCGCTAAAGAGGACAGTTTTGAAAAGCTTCGAGAAGCTTCAGTACTTCGGAACGCTTCATTTGGCCATCACCAGTATTATATCTAAATCTTTCACTTTCCTGTTGCTAATAAAATTCTAATTCTTTGGTAATGATTTACTTCCAGACTAATGCCATTACCGTTTCTAACAGTGATGTGCGCACTCCTTGCGTAGCCTCAGATTTCACTTCCTGTTTACGTTCCGTAAATGACGTCACGTCGATAAGGTTAGAGAAACCGTTTCAAAACCTAAACAGCAGAGAAGTTGAAAAATATCCCATCATTACTGAAACACGTTCTGTCTCACTTGCAGACTGGAGCACCGGTGCGAGAGCGGGACCTTCGGTTTGAGCTGTATCGCTCAGATTTAAGAACGAAGCAAGCTACCCGGGCTGCTAAGCGAAGCTAATGCTAATATTTGAAAGCTAGGTATTTGAAAACGAAAGCAATACAACTTCAAGACAGTGCCCAGTTTCTTTAAGGATGGAGAGCAAATACAACCTTAAGAGTCCAGGTAAGCCTGATCCCAAAACAACTTCTACAGCTTTCAGAACCCTAGGATAAATCCTACAGCTAAAATCCAACACTTTAATGTTTCTTAATTAGCTTAACTGTTATTAGCCTCCGTCCCAATCTAAATGTTTACACTGGCACCTTTATTTGGTATTTTTTCTGAGTTCTTTCTGTTGTGTGGGATGCTTTATTTATTTTTTTTAAACTCTTCGGTATTCAGAGCAAACCATCTGTCTGTTGAAACTGTACCGGCTGGCTCTGTCCCTGCACTTTTCGTGTTGCGGAGTTCTTTGACGTTACACACGTAATTAAGGACACGTCTGCGTGTTCAGCGTTGTCGTTAGCTGCTTGTGTAATATTAGTGATCATGGGGACGATTTAATCGGCTGATTTTGAAGGTTGACTTTAAGAAACATAGCGAGCATGCTGGTGGTGTGCAACCCACAGCAATAATACGTAATGTTTATTTTAAAAAAAAAACGTTTTAAAACAGTATATGTATTTTTATGACTTTCACTTTCGTAAGAAGAAGATTTAAATGAGTCACGGAAATGGGAATGAAAAATATTGTGCACTTTGCAGTATATTGCACAAAGTCTTTAACGCTGAATATAAATCATGTCTTATGTCTGTTGTGATTATGATAGTTGCATTTTGCGTGCATGGCTCAAAGCTGTTCTGGCAGGGTCAAAACTTGGCCAGCTGTCCAAAACCTTTTCACTGATCCCTGATAATGAGTGTTTAGAGGTGAGCCTTATAGTTTCTCAGTTTTCACTGGGACAGAAATGAACTGAAATCAGAAACATCTTTATTTGTGCTCACAAACAAGGAATTGGACTCCAGTGTTCCAGGTTAACTGGTTTTTACGTTAACTCTCTATTTTCCGCAGATCAAATGGTCTTCTCACTTTGCCAGTGTGTCTTGCGGTTTCACAAGAAAGGGCAACATCTCCAGCTCGTACAAATGCCTATGTGTCTCAACATTAGCTTCAGGCAACAATTAAATTATCTCAAAAAAAAAGAAAAAAAAGAAACATAACTAACAAGCTGACATTTTCCTTATGACACCACCGATCTGCTTGAAGGACCCTCAGTCATGCATGCATCCTGTTCACCTGTCAGCTGTCTAACGTCTGCTGCTGATGTAGGAAACATGCCCACATTAACTGGTGTTAGACACAGTTTAGTGGGCAGCTGCGTCCTCAACATAATGTAATGTCATCACAATGGCTTGTTTCCTGAGTGCAGAGCTGCTGGAGATTGTGTTTCCCCTCAGAGTGACTGATCTGGGTTAAAAATGAGATTTAAAACGAGGAGCGATGAACACTGAGATAACTACAGAGCACTTCATAAGCGAACTTGTTGCTTTAATGAGAATTTGTTCTGCCACCGATTTGATCAAATGGACTAAATAGCATCCTCTCAAGATGTGAGTATGTTCAGGAAACTCACCCAGGTTTCCTAATAGACACATAGGTAATAGACACAGGCAATTGATGGTTATTTTGAAAAAGAAACCCTCTTTAAATCTCCACAATGCTGAGTAAGTGTATTTGTAATGTTTTAATACATCAGCAGGTTGTGGCATGAAGTGCTAAATGCACTTGTAAATGACCATTTCTGTGAAACTTTGGTTATTATGTTGATGGGTTTTCATGAATGGTAGGATGATCCATTGCAATGAATTATGGGACAGCATTGTTTCTTCTCCCTTCACAACAAATGACTGTAGAAAAGATGCATGATCTGGCTGCACTTCCTTCCATAGTACAAAAATGAAGTCAAAATTTCCCACTTGTGGGAGCTGCCGTATTGCACGTTTGGAGTCAGTCTGTGCAGTAGTGACTCGAGGTGGAATAGCTGTGTCACCTGCTGGATGTGACCGTGAACACGCCCCCCTTCACTTTTTACGTAGCCCATCTTCTCCAGGTTATCTGCTGATGGGTTTACTGCGACTAACGACTCGTTAAATTAAATACAACCACAAAGTTTTGTTAGTATAAGCTTCTAATGAAGTGTTATTTTTAGCTGGTGAACTGGTGACTCACTGGACTGACAAGCTGGAGTCAAACGCACTGTTTATATATTTACTTTTTCCTCCCTCGTCTCCTCATCGGCCAGGTATACAGAGCGATGCAGTCAACTTGCAAAGCAGTCCACGACATGCAATCGGCTGTATTTTATGCAATAAAATGGTGTCGTCTTTGTCCCAAGCACACCCAAACAATTTAAAACATGTGGTTGCTCCATCACACCGCAAACATAACCGGGTTTCTCACTATAGAATGATCAGGAATCCTAGCATCCATCAGCGTGTACATAGAAACAAAAATCTCCACATCAGTCTTGTTTGCTTACATTTCTGTACCGTCATAAGATGGTACTAAACATGCTCTAAATCTTTTAAACAATTAGAGCGTTAAACCTTTGACGGTTTTTGAGAGCAGGTCTTTATACCTGTAGCGCTTTAGGTCTCCTTTTTTAGCTAAATGCTATAATAGTAGTGACAGCGGTAGACGTGCGCACAGTCTGGAGATGCTTTTTCTTTTCATTCTCTTGTCTATGCCTTTCACGTCTTTGGTGTTAGCTTGTTATTATGTAACAGTGTCTCTTTTTATCCCTTTGGACCTGGTGTGAGTCATTCCTAGTGGCAAATAGTCAACATTTGTGTTGCATAAGATGATTTGGCATATAAGGATTATCACCTTGGGCCTGTTACTGGACTTCTGCAGAGACAGTTGTGTGGGAAAGGCTTTTCTTGTCATCTCTTCCTACTATGGGGGTAGTTGCAGTTCTGGAGGTAGAGCAGGTTATTTACTAAACGGATAGGTTGGTGGTTCAATCCCTGGCTGCTCCATTGTGCATGCCAAATCTGCTTGGGGCAAGATACTAACCCCATGTTGCTCTCTGATGCATCTATTGGAGTACGTGTCTGAATGTTGGATAGAAAGCGCTTTGAGTGTTCAGTTTGAGGAGAAAAGCATCTTACAAGAACCAGTTTATGTACCATTTAAGACAGAGCCAAAAATGGAAAATGAATATGAAACTCAGCAGGCAATAAGGAGCAGTGTAGTTCCTGTCAGTGTCTCCAGGCACAGATACGTTAAATGAGAGAATGTCATAATGAAATCCAAGAAAAACCATGTTAATTTCACTATCATTTTCGTTGTCATTGCATTGTCAACTCTAACTATCACCACCTTTGAATTCTATCTTATCTTATCTTCCCATCTTTAGCTTGCATGTAACAGAGCTTTTTTTTTTTTTGCTTTTTTTTTTTTTTTTTTTTTTTTTTGGGAAGATAAATTTGAAAAAAGATAATTTTCCAGAAATTGTGTGGCGACATATCTGAATGAATGCAGTAGTAACTATAAATATAGCACTATGTTTTATGCTTTGTAGTGTTTTGGACTCAACGATATTGGCAAAAAATGAAATCATCATTGATCACAATTTCTTTGAGTGCCAATGCAATGGTAGTGCAAGAGGATTTTGTTGTTGGTCAGTTATTTAAGACCTGAGCAAATATGGAATTTATATTATAGTATTGGCCAAAAAAAAAAAAAAAAAGTCGCCACCAAAAAAGGTCACACACTCTAATATTTCATTAGACCGCCTTTAGCTTTGATTGCGACACGCATTCTCTGTGGCATTGTTTCAATAAGCTTCTGCAATGTCACAAGATTTATTTCTATCTAGTGCCCATCACTCTGGAACAAGGTAAATCTGGACTCATCAGACCACATGACCTTCTTTCATTGCTCCACAGTCCAATCTTTATGCTCCCTAGCAAATTGAAGCCTCTTTTTTTTTTCGGTTTGCCTCACTGATTAGTGGTTTTCTTACGGCTACACAGCGGTTCAGTCCCAATCCCTTGAGTTCCCTTTGCATTGTGTGTGTGGAAATGCTCTTACTTTCACTTTTAAACATAGTCCTGAGTTCTACTATTGTTTTTCTTTGATTTGATTTCACCAAATGTTTAAGTGATCGGCAATCACGATCATTCAGAAATTTTTTTCAGGCCACATTTCTTCCTCGAAGACGATGGGTCACCGCTATCCTTCCACTTTTTAATAATGCGTTGGACAGTTGTTAACCCAATTTTAGTAGTTTCTACAATCCCCTTAGATGTTTACTGTGCTTGAAGCATGACAATGATTTGACCCTTCTCAAACACACTAATATCTTTTCCACGACCCTGAGATTTGTGTGTGTGTTATTGATATGTTGAACTGAGTAACGATATCCAATGATACTTAGCAAAAAATCATGCAAGTCTATGCTTCTGGGGTTAAACACCATTTTATACACCACACCGACTGCCTTGCTTGCTATCTGGTAATGTGATAGTGTCGTTACCATTACAGTATTTGCATGCTACAGTGTTAAATAATAATGTTATACTTTTACTGGTTATAAATGAAAGTTTCTTATTTGTTTACCGTAACTACCATGTTAATAAGTAATTTCATTACAGCCAGAGTAAAAATGCTAAGCTAAAACATCAAACAACACAGTAAACAAAGCTTACTGGAAGATGTTGATGAAGCTGTTAATACCTCACTTTCATCATCATCCTCCATACAGTTCTTAGAAACTGACATACCAAAGTTGGCTTTCAGGCTGTCAGCCTTTAGATATACATTACATTGCCAAAATTATTTACTCACCTGCCTTCAAACATGAACTTGAGCTGCATCCCAGTAGTAATCCAGGATTTAATACAATGTCGGTTCACCCTTTGTGGCTCTAACTGCTTCAACTCTTCTTTGGCAAATGTTTAGCTGGCTTAAGCACATTTACTCAGGGCCTTATTGATGTGATATTCTTCTGCTGCCACGGCTGTGTGTCTGTGAAAAAGGCGTTTGCTCTGTGTTGTGGTGTCCTGATGACACACAATTTCACGAGACTCAAACCTTAAATACTGATTCATAGACATTGTCCCCCATTAATGATTAGGGCTGCCACAAACGATTATTTTGATAGTCGACTAGTCACCGATTATTTATGCGATTAGTCGACTAATCAGATCATCATCCACTGGACGTAAAACTACAGCTTATTGCACCAGCAGCATATGCTCTTATATAACTATCATTAGCTTACAGCTTTAAGCTTTTAAGGTGCTAACTAAAAATAAAGACAAGATGATAGTTTATTCAATTTTAATGAAATTTGCAGATTGTTTCGGTGAAGTTTAATAAACTCCTTGCTATCTAAAATATAACAGGACAACGGAGTATATTCTCCAGCATCTCACACTTCTGATAATCAGCTGTCTGCTTGACGTTTATTCAGCTGTGTAAAAACTATAACTTTAATCTCAGACAAACCGATTTACTCAGGAACAAATAAAATACTAAAAAAAAAAAAAAAAAAAAAAGCCAAACAACAATATTTTTAATTTATCTAAGTGACTCATATATATTTAACCTGAGTAGCGAAAGACGGCGGTGGGTTTGAAAACAATTTGCCGGGAGTCCGGTGTTCTCACCGCGCTAGTGACCTAGCCCCCGGCTAGCTATCGAGCTAGTGGGTAACAGACGTCTCCGAAAACGTCGGAGCGCTTTTGAAAATATGTGGTGTCCTGATAAACTGAGCCGATATTTGAGGTTTACACAGCTACATTCTCGGCTGAAAATATGTTAAACGTTTATTTTGTGACCCAGAAAGAATTAATATTAAAACTAACTAGCCGCCGCCATTGTTGGAAACTGAGCTGGGCCGCGCTATGAATTCTGGGACACAGCTGCTTCTTCTTCTTCTTCTTCTTCTTCGGGGTTTAACGGCAGCTGGCATCCTTGTACATGCAGTGCTGCCATCTTCTGTTTCAGTCCGTTATTACACTCTTAAATCCTGCTACTTATTCCTGCGTCTTTTGGGATCTTACAAAGCTTCAAACGACGCGTCGACTATTAAATCAGTCGTCGACGATTTTGATAGTCGACGTAATCGTGACTAGTCGACAAATCGTGGCAGCCCTATTAATGATGGACATTTCTAAGTCTAAGAAAACTAGCTTGTTATTTTTCATATTCTCCGCAAGTCAAAGTAAATAGTTTTTAAAGGTGAAATATAAAAGTAAAATCAGATGTAGTCATTTATACATTTGACTCCAGACGGCTGATAAATTTGCAAGAAAGAAAGATTAGGTCATTGTGTGTAGAGTTTTGAGGTGAAAAATGAATTGAATCGGTTTAGGAATAAGGGTGTAACATGACAAAACATGGTACAAGTGAAGTGGTGTAAATGCTTTCCAGATGTACTGTAGCTTTCCGTGCAGGTGGTAACCTTTTTTTTTCCTTTTTCTTTATTTCTTTTGATGGAAAGCGGTGAAGAGGCTGATGAAGGAGGCTGCTGAACTGAGGGATCCCACAGAGCACTATCATGCCCAACCACTAGAAGTAAGTTTGGCATTTTTATGCTATTACTTTACTCTATAGTCTAACAATGCATGACAATGAAAATATAAGCAGGCAATGCAGCTACTTTTACGCTACTTTTACACTACTAGGTACTACTAGTTTTGATAGCCTTCAAGTTACAGTGTGTAAAATTTTCACCTATAGATATCAGTTGCAGTTTGTAGTGAGCTTGACTGCAGGTCAAAATTGGTGTGAAATCAAAGACGTGACCTGGGATTTTCAAACTGATAGAATATGGTTATTAAAGTTCTCCGAATTCTCTTTGAATTTTGTGACCTCACGGTCAGAAGTCAAGTTTTCTGAAAATCTTTTATATAAGATAACCCATACTTTTAGGCCTTTTAAATCTCACTATATATCCCTGTCTTGTCTCAGCTGGGGTCCTCATTTAGTGTCACAATCCTCAAGCTAATACAAACACAAACACACTCCAGTAAGTTCATTGGATTTAATACTTAGTTTCACTTTCATAAGTGATAGATATACGCTGGCTATGACTTCTGAAAATATTTGTCTAGTGGTCAATAGAGATGTTTAGCTCTGCAAGTCACTTTTTATTTCTTAGCATATTTTTTTCTTATTTCAAATCAGCTGATAATATCAGATAATCAGCTGTATAAAGCCCTCTTGTTCCACAGTTGCGATAGGGATCATGTCTTTAGTGATATAATAGGCTACTGTGGCTTTAAGATGGTTTGTTTCGGGGCAGGAGGCTGGGAAGACGTCGCGGTCTGGGATACAGCACGCAGGTTCAAGCACTGTGGCGCTGTTGTAAATGGTGAAAATGATTGGTAGAGCTCGAACCTTTTGTCGGGACGCTTTTTCGTCATTCTCTACAGAATACATTATTCTGCTGCTCATCTGACACTTTGAATCCAAACCATCTCCAAATATTTGAGCCGTTGTTTTTCTTTTTACCAACCAGCTACTCTGCGATAGCTACTGTGTCCATCTGGTCGCTGCCTGCAGGTGAAGCGATGGGCGAGTTGTGTTCAGTGAGAAATAGAGGCGGGGCAGAGTGACGTGTAGAGACAAGCCTGGACGAGAGAGACTGGCTCCACAAGTATAATTATAGCAAACGTAGACTATATCGATATAAACGATAGTGTCACATCTTATATGTCGTATCAAAGTATATGGATTTTTTTTTTAAAAACTTGATATTTCGCCCAGTCCTACCTTCTGTTGTCTTCTCAGACAGAAATATGTTCTTAAAATTAGGGCTGGGCCATATCACACCGTTCATGGTAATACCGGTATAATGTTGGGCAACGATAAGAAAATGAAATATCGTGATAGAATATGGGTAAAACGCGCATGCGCAGTGCCTTTGTTTTCATATGCACATGGCGGCGACGGAGAATGAGAAGGGCGAAAGCGGATCGTTGAATGAAACAGATGAACCAGAATTGGTTTGTAAAAATGCTGCAACTTCAGTGGTGTGGAACTGGTTTAGCTTTCATCCGTCAGATACACAACAAAGCACTATTTTTGGTAGAGCATGCTAGCGGGCCGTCGTTATTACCGTGTTGTTTGGAAAATACAGCACACTTTAAATCAATCCTTTGATTTTTCTGAAAATCGACAGTGTCCTTTATAATCCCGTGTGCCTTATGTATGAATTCTGGTTGTGTTTACTGACCTCGAAACGATTTTATGTACACGGCGCTCGAAAATCTGTCAAACGTTTTAGTACGACTTTGCTAAGCTACGAACCCGCACCGCTTGATGGATTGTCGGAGCATTACGGCTATCGTAGGCAGGAGCCTGGCGGAGTGATACGTACTGCACTTCAACATAATGTTACCGTATTGTGTGTGTATAACCTCTTTTTAAGTTTTGTGGATATTATACATGGTTATGCTGAGGATATGTCGGCCTTTTGGTTAAACTGTCAGCAAGGAATTTGCATTTGCACTGTTAATTTTTTATATAACTTTAATGCACATAAAAAAACAGCTGCTTGTTTAAGTGAAAATACATTGATGTTTTTTTTTCTGCACTCATAAAGTTGTGGATTTGTAAAGTGTTTTGTCTAGTGTCAATTATATCGTCAGCTATGTCGTTATCGCAAATTTTCAAATATATATCGTGATAAATATTTTTGGTCATATTGCCCTGCTCTACTTAAAGTGATATTTCCTTCTTTCTGCAGGACAATCTCTTTGAGTGGCACTTTTCTGTTCGTGGTCCTCCAGACTCTGATTTTGATGGTGGGGTTTACCACGGCAGGATCATACTTCCCCCAGAATACCCCATGAAACCTCCCAGCATCATCCTACTCACAGTAAGATGCAGATGAAGATCACATCTTAGCTGCATTTGATTATTCTCCTGATGCAGCAGATAATCAAAAAGCTGAAAAAGCAATTTTTAAGAACAGACAACTTTCCCAACCTTATACACTGACCATGTTTGGCTTCACACATAACTGCAAGGCACATTCTCTAAAATGAACATTATCAAAAATAAATATCGTTCTAGGCTTACCAGTGAGCATATGTATGGCCCTGATTCCATTCAAGCCCAGGCTTACACACCTGGAGGAACAAGCTAGAGCTCAATTTTCTTTTGAAACAGTCAGGGAGTTGAACGTAATAGGGGAAGAAAGTGAGCTTCCAGAACAGTTCAGGTGTTAAGATTAAGGATGTTCCTGGCCAGGAAAAAATGAGACTGACTGACTAGTCTAAAACTATGAAGTTCAATTTTAAAATCGTTTCATGGAAATTTCAAAAACTAATAACAAAGGCATTGTAAACAATTTACCCCATTCTTCAATAATGAATCATGCCGCTTAACTTTTCGTTTTGTGCGTTATCAACATTACACGTACATTATATTCAGCATTATACAACATTATACTTTAAACAGTTAAAACAAACCTGCTGCAACAGGGAAGCCCAAACCTCCCTCTTGCTGCCACCTCCAGCTTATCCGAGGAAACTTCAAGCCTTTCCCGGGCCGGCCGATAGATGTCGTAAGATCTAGAAATTTTAACAATTAGATTCAATTGCTAGTAAGTAAGGTTGGGTGACTGGACGAATATATTGCCCATCGATGATAGACTGAGCCTTTCACCGATCGTTTTTACAAGACCAATTTATTTATTTGCCCGTGAGTAAGTTTGCTGATAATGTTGACTGAAGCTAGGGAGAAGCAGTCAACAGAAAAAATAATAGCGCCCATCAAAAAGTCTGCGCCTGCGTGAGTATATTGCCTTTTGTCGGTTATTGGACCGGCGAATGTCAGTTGGAAAATTTTTACATATCGCCCAACCTTAGCAGAAAGTCTGGTACCGACTAGTGACAACAGCGACCATTAATCAAACATTAGTAGAGTCAAGATGTAAAAGAGAACGAGGGACATTCAAGCTTCTCCCTTGTGTTTTTCACTTTAATTAAAACATTGAATGCATAACTTTTAACATTTCATTTTTTTCTCTTATTTTAAAATCCAGCTCTAATTTTACTTATAAAACAGGGGGAATCGATTAACTCGCACACACAGTGGGGGAAATTTAATTTTATCCCATGCTGAATTCCTCTCATACAAAAAAGAATAGTTTCATATTTAATGGTAATTTCATTTTAATGTTGAGAGATGGAATGTCAGTAAAAAAATAAAAAATAATAATAAAAAAGTTGAAAATGGATTTGAATGTCATTGAGTGAAATAAGTATTTGACCACCAACCAGAATCCTCACGTTGGGAGGAAGTCCTGTGGTCAGGAAACCCAAATCAAGGCTGGACTAGGCTGCATGACCATAAGGAAGGCACTTATTGAAAACGGATCAAATATTTATTTCAGTCAGTTATAGATCTTTATGTAATGTGTGGATTTTTGTTTATATGAAACAACCACAAAAATGAGACTGTCGAAATTTAAAAATTCACAAGATCAAATCATCCTTTTCCCACTATATTCAGGCAGCTGTGCGGTACATGTTTTAATGACTGATAAAAGTTAGAATTTGTTGTGAGAAAACTGTGTTCACATGTTTTCACTGACACCAGCTACTATTTTATTGGTTCTTTGTTTAACCAAATTTTTAATTAGATTTTTGTTTGAAAGCTCTGACATTTGCACAGTAGTAGCCTCATTTTTATTTGTTAATACTGCTCAAAACTTTTGTCAGTTTGTGTTCATAGGTTTTGAGAAATATGTGCTGTGCCTCTGTTTTCCCATACGTACCAATACCACTTTCTTTTTATTCCCTTCCATTAGCCAAATGGGAGATTTGAAGTTGGGAAGAAGATTTGTCTGAGCATCTCTGGCCACCATCCTGAAACCTGGCAGCCCTCTTGGAGTAGTAAGTATAGGAGACAAGATCCCAGTTCTCCATACGTATCTTATTCCCTGAGGTAATCTAAGTATTTAGAGCAGGGGTGCTCAATCCCAGTCCTCGAGAGCTACTGTCCTGCAGCTTTTAGATGCATCCCTACTCCAACACAGATGAATCAAATGTTTGATCACCTCTTCAGCATGCCATCAAGTTTGGAGAAGGCCTGATAACAAGCCATTCGTTTGATTCAGCTGTGTCGGAACAAGGATGCATCTAAAAGCTGCAGGACAGTAGCTCTCGAGGACTGGGATTGAGCACCCCTGATTTAGAGGTTGCATTTGGAAATAAGCTCCACAAAAGAATTTGTAGAGCTGTGAAATGAGATGTGTAGGAAAAGTACTGAAATGATCATCACTAATTAATAGCACTGATGTCTTGCATGCAAAACCATCCAGGTAAGCACTGATGCTCTAATGCTGTTAATTGGTACAGAAGTATTCCTGATTTCCTATTTTTGTTGTATGTTTGTCACACTTCAAAGTTTCAGATCATCAACCAATTTTAAATGTTAGACAAAGATGACACGAGTAAACACACCATGCAGTTTCTAAATGAAGGTGTTCATTATTAAGGAGGAAACAGAGGAACCCACCCGAGGGATTAATAAAGTTCTATCTTATCTTATCTTATCTTAACAATCCAAACCTACATGGCCCTGTGTGAGAAAGTGATTACCCGCTAAACCGAATAACTGTTTGTGCCACTTTTAGCAGCAACATCTGCAATCAAGCGTTTTCAGTAACTGGCAATGATTCTTTTACAGCTCTGCCCACTCATCTTTGCTGAATTGTCATAGTTCAGCCACATTGGAGGGTTTTCGAAAATACACCTTCTTTTTAAGGTCATGCAACTGCTCCTCAGTCAGATTCAGGTCAAAACTTTGAATGGGCCACTCCAAGGTTTTCACTGTGTCAGTAAGTCATTCAGAGATGGACTAGCTGGTCTGTTTTGGATCATTGCCTTGCTGCAGAACCCATTTGCGCTTCAGCATTTTCTCAAGGTCATCAAGGCCGAGTTACATGAACAAATTGGAGTCTATTAGATAGATATGATAGAAACCACCACAGTGCAGTACCTGTAAAACCTACAGCATGCTCTAATCATTCTAAGAGAATATTATGGTCTACAGCACAGGTCTCGGACTCCAGGCCTCTAGGTGCCGGTGTCCTGCAGGTTTTAGATGTGTCCTTGATCTAACACAGCTGATTCAAATGGCTAAATTTCCTCCTCAACATGTCCTGAAGTTCTCCAGAGACCTGGTATTGAACTAATCATTTGATTGTGTTGACCTAGGGTGAGATCTGGAACCTGCAGGACACCGGCCCTCGAGGCCTGGAGTTTGACACCCCTGGTCTACAGTATCTAATGCTGCACTGAGGTCTAGGAGGACAAGCACAGAGACGAGTCCACTGTCAGAGGCCCTTATGATGATACATGTGTTTGGTTTTGCTGCTGGCGGCTGCAGTTTGTCCTGATGTGGTGTAGTGCGGTGTAGTTTTTGTGTGTGTCGGTGGCATATTGACTGCTGCTCTTATCTATCCGATCTTCACTGACGGGTCAAGATACCTCATTCTCCTGTGTCAGCGTTTACCACCAGTTCCCCTGTCATTCAGCAAAAGTTAGACATTTTTCTTCGTTTGAACTACAGCTGATTAGAGTCAGGTATAAGACCTTTTCTTTTTTTTTTTTTATTGTCCTGTGGTGTATCGTCCATTCAGTGACTTATTATCCTCCACTATAAAGCTGCCCAGACTCCTTATAGTTGGAGATTTTAACATTAACGTAGACGACAACTCTGACCTCTTTGCCAGAAGCTTTACTGGCATCATGGATTCTTTTCATTTCACTCAGTTTGTGTCTAGTCCCACACATACCAAAGGACACAAACTGGACCTTGTTTTTACTTTGGGTTTAAATATTGATTCTATTTGTTCTGGGGACATTTTTACTTCTGATCATCACTGTATTATTTTTAACTTGTCTTTCTCCTGCTTGCCGTGTGGTCAGCACTCACACCTTAAATTCCTCTACTGCTGAGAAATTCTCTGATTCTTTTAAGTTGTTCTTATCCCCTTATGATCTTACAACAAATCTTTTTAATAATTACTGTCTTACTGAAATTAGCTCGTTTCCAAATTCTCCCTTCGCATAAATGAAACCATTCGCTGCTTAAAGCGTTCTTGTCGATAAGCTGAGCACATGGTCTAATAAAGGATCTTTCTTTCAACCGTTCAGTTAGAGATGCGAGAGTGCCTATTTCTCACATCTGGTTACAAAGAGCAGAGGTAATCCTCAGGTGTTATTTGATGCCATTAGTAATATTGTTACTCCTGCTCCACCTGCCACCCCAATCTCTTCAAATAAAGGTGAAAATTTTCTGTCTTGATAGAAAAATTGATAATAGAAGAATTACTATTTCTCCATCAACATTTACATTGTCTGTTCCTGCTCTAGCTCGGCCTGTTATTTTAGAGTTGAAAACTAAAGTAGACTTTTGGCCCCCAGACTCTGGAACTCTCTCCCCCTGAGTTTGAGATCTGTGCACTCGGTGCTTTCCTCTAAGAAAACTAAAATTAAAACTTTTTAGACTTGCATTTAGTGTCCTTAGATTGCTTGCTTGCCAAAGTCAGTATGTTAAATGCAAAGAGATCTTTTTCAGTACTGCATGAACTTTGTATGTGAAACATTTGTTTTCTAATATAAATGACAAAGCTCACTCCAGTAATCTGCTTCTGGCCTAAACAGTATTGCACTTTGGGTGCTGGTGTTGATAGATGAACTTGTGCTGAGGGTCTTGATATAAGAGTATTTTTATACACCTCGAGAGTAAAAACGAATAATTTATTACTACCAAGAACTCCTCATTAGTTTGTAACTGGCGTTTGGTCCGTTTGCTGAGTTCTGCTTTCATGTTACTTCTCAGCATGGAACTTTAATCAGTGGAAACTCAGTGGGAGATGCTGCATCTTCCTCAAAGCATTTCTCTCTACTGCCTCCCTCTCTTAAGTAAGAAGAGTTTCAAATCAATAACAGAATTAAATCAAAGACAAAGGTTGCTCCTAACTTCTTTTTACCAACAAACTGTAGGTCACATGGCCAGCTATGCCTCAGAGATTTGACTTCCCCTGCTGGGTTTTTAAAGTGTTGGCTCTAAGTTGTGTCTGATCCTGTTTGCAATGACCACAGGAGGCCTGACTTGATAATTGAACAGTGCTTCCGATTGTCACAGACAGGCCAACTGTAGGGTTCCAGGTTTATGCTCACTACTCTTGGTGGCTGCTTTAGTTCATATGATATGCCTGCATATTTAATAAAGCATGCTTCAGATAATTAAACATTCCCTCTGATGTCTCTTTGGGAAATATTTAAATTTGTATTTTTACATAGGCTGATTTATTTAGATATGGTATCGTTACTCATGAATATCTTGACAAATGTTTTTCCTCAAGCTGTTTTCTGGTCTGTCTGTACTTAATACTGTTTATTTTTAAAATGTAAGCTGAAGTGTATTGTGTGTATTGTTTATAGCCCAGCTATTTTCACAAACTTTGGTCATAGGTTATACACACAGTTAGAGATAGCAAGTCATCAGAACTGAAGTATGACAGTTTGCACCAAAGTGACTTATTTCAATAGACTGGCTGCTGTTAAAATTTGCTGCTTCTTCTTGTCTTCGTCCTAGTGTCTTTTTCAGTCACTTAATTGAAATTTCTCTCTATTTCTATCTATTTCTCTATTGATCGATGGAGCAATAGATCATCGCCGTTTACGAATAGGAACATAGAAAAGAGAGACCTAATGTTTAACAATCCATATTTAACAGCTTTACTCTGGTGCAGTTGTGGATACTATATTGTTCTTACTTTGATTTTTAAAAAAAAAAAATTTATTTTAAATTGTATTTTTGATGATTTTCTTTTGTTTTTTTGGTGGTCTGCGAGCAGATAGCCGCTAAAAAGAAGGGGTTTTGGGGGATTACAGGAAGAGAGAAGTTGCAGAGAGGTGTGTAAGACTGGTCCCAAGTCTCAGTCACATTTTGGGGGTTTAATAAATTTCGCCAGATGTCTAGAAATGGGAGCTGCTCCATCCAAAGTGGGATGGATGTCGTCTCTCCTAATAAGATCAGGTTTTCCCCAGAAAGTTTCCCAATTATCTAAAAGCCCACGTGATTTTTTTGGACACCACTCAGACAGCCAGCAATTTGAGGACGAAATGCATCACTCCAGGTCCGACTGGGCAGAGGACCAGAGAAAACAACATAGTTTTTGCCAAAGTCACACACTGTTTCAATATAATTATAGTGAACTCTGACTGACACAACCCGATGTTATTGCTGCTGATATGAATGATAATTTTTTTACCAAATCTACATTTACAAGCAAGATGTATTTAAAGAACAGACAGTTCAGAGAATAAACATAAACTGGAGAATTAACAGGTTGTCATGGCCAAGTGAGGCTAACAATGAATATCAATAGTCAATACTCAATCAGCTTTATTCGCCACATGCAGGTTGTCCTGCAGTGGAATGGACCCGCCCCCCGACCTTACGTTGTGTTTTTCATTCACTTGCTATTTCTCCTCATTGTTTACACACTCTCTCTCTCTTTTTTTTCTTCCAGTTCGCACTGCCCTCATAGCTATAATTGGATTCATGCCAACAAAAGGAGAGGGTGCCATTGGATCTCTCGATTATACTCCTGAAGAGAGAAGAGCCCTTGCCAAAAAGTAAGATTTAGTAGATACAAAAATCTTTTCAGTCTTTCCAGTTGAGAATGGTAATAAGGTGAGTATGGCATATTGCATCTTCTTGTATGAAATAATGTTACAACCTCAAGTAGCAGGCAAGCAGGAAGTGGATATGATCCTCATAAAATATTCAAACAGCCAAGTCCGTTCAAACATGTAATAGAAGCACCTGAGCTCGAGTCGACATGCCTCATTGCTAATTACTGGTCTATCACAATCTGAAAAGAACATTTCCAGGCCAGTCCTGGTATTGAAAGATGACAAGTTCATCGTTGCTGTGTGCTGCCAGTCTCCAGAGGACTCGTGAGCAGACACTCAATTTTCATATCACACTGTGTTTTCCTCAGAGAAAATGGTACAAAGCCAGCGATGGTAAAGTTCAAGCTAAAATTGCTCTCTATTAGCAGATGAGATGAGTTTTGATCATCCGGTTATTTCATTAGTTCATGGAGATGAAATGGATAGGAAAACACACTGTGTGATGAATACAAGGCTGCTTGTCTCCATGATGGCACCTCCACCCCTTCCCAACACACACACACACACACACACACACACACACACACACACACACACACACACACACACACGCAGTGGCTGAGGCAGCACTAAAATGTTCATTTATTAAATGAAAATGTAAAATATTACTATTTAAGTACTTCACATTTACACTCATTTTGATTACATATTCAGAAATGACAACATCTGATCTTTAGACACTTTGTGAAAAGACAGTCTGCATGTAAGGACAGTTTGAAAAATAGTAAGGAAACTTAAACCTTAAACTTCAACCAGCTAGTTATTAACATAATGTTTGCTGGATTTAGTCCCTGTTCAGATACTGGCATCTCTGCAAACATAATGAACAAAAACCAATCTATTGCAAATACCTAATAAAGATGGCATCTGGGTACAAGTCAGCAGCAGCTCAGATTTGCACTTTAGTCACTGATAACATAAGACAGAAAAACCCTTTGACATCTAATGAAATAATGAACACTTCTACGTAGGGATGCCATTGTTAAAGTCTTAAGTCAAGAGATGCCTTTATGAATGTAAATGCAGAGGGTTTAGAACAAGTTACAAACCATTGGTTAAAGTCAAGTACAAGAACAGTAGAGGAATGGCATCATTAAACATCTTATTTATAGTTTAAAGAATCAAGATGGATCCTTTCATTTTCTTGTTCTGTCAACTTGAGTTCACAGTACTAACTCCTCTGCCAGTATTTTCTTGAAAGTAGTGCTGGACAGTGCTGCTGTGAAAGAAGTATCAAAGAATAAACAAGAGCACTCAGAGAGTGTAATTCCTCCTGAAGGGCAAGAGCTATACTAAAACTTTGTTTTATGATGTTTTTGTTAAAACATGCTGTTCCTCCGCTACTGCCTCGTTTGAATTTTGGACGAAAGGGATTCTGGGATATTGCATTTCGTCATTTCGATTTGATTGGAGACCAAAACAGCCAATCAGATTTGCATCCAAGTCTATGATTGGCTGGTTTTGTGGCACAACTATAACGGTGTACAGAAAGAGTTGAACGCGCACGGGCAGAAATGTTGAGAGCGCAAGCAACACATTGCGAGCGAGCGCAAATGCAAAAACTGAGCGAGACGGGCTGCTATTGTGTGTGTGTGCGTGTGTGTGGATAATAGCAAACACTGAAATACATTTTTTCCACTCAGCAATGCATTTTGTTCACTCAAATTTAGCTTTTCTTCGCTCAAAATAAATTTCTCCTTAAAATGCAACACTTGCACCTGCAAACTTTTTTTACGTGCGCTCAAAATTTCTTACGTGCGCTCAGAATAGTGGCACAAAAATAACGCCATAAAAACTCCCTGAAAAGCTTTCAGTTAATCCAAAATACTGCAGCGAGTACTGACAGGGACTAGCAAGAGAGAGCATATTTATTCTATATTGGCTCCCTGTTAAATCCTCTGTTAAAACTAAAAATCCTGCTCCTCACATACAAGGTCTTAAATAATCAGGCCCCATCTTATCTAAAGACCTTATAGTACCATATCACCCCAGACACTATCTCTACTTTTAAGATTAGGCTTCAAACTTTCCTTTTGCTACAGCATATAGTTAGGGCTGGATCAGGTGACCCAAGGTTAAGGTTACTTTATTTATACCCATAGGGAAATTTGCTTTACAGAAAAATAATAGCATTTGGCATCCCTTCACAAAACACACACACCTAATAAAACCTGACAAATGCACATTTTTTGTAATTAAATCAAATGAATCAAATCAAAACCATTCTTATTGAGTTCGGTGACAACAACAGGGGCAAAAGTGTTTTTATAACGCTTTGTCCTGCATCTTGGAACTAGAAACCTCTGTCCAAGGAAAGACGCTGAAATTCACCCCATAGAGGATGGGAACCATTTTAAGAACTGATCGAGCTGGGAGGCTAAACAGGGCTGTGACTCACCTATCAGATGACTGGACTGTCTCTGCACGGAGTGTTTCTTCTTCAGTAACCTTTTTCACTCACTGTGTTTTTATACACCTCTCTGCATTTAATTATTACTTATTATTAATATGTGCTCACTACCAGAGAATGTCTTTATCCTGTCTTCCGCCCCTTAATCCCAACCGGTCATTGCAGATGGCCGCCCCTCCCTGAGCCTGGTTCTGCTGGAGGTTTCTTCCTGCTAAAAAGAATTTTTTCCTTCCCCCTGTGGCCAAAGCGCTTGCTCATACGGGATCATTTGATTGTTGTTGTTTTTCTGTTTTCTCTTTATTATTGCAGGGTCTTCGCCTTGCAATATAAAGCACCTTGAGGCAACTGTTGCAGTCTGGTGCTAAATAAGTAAAACTGAATTGAATGAAAAATAAGAAAATTATATCTTGAAAACTGTGAACACTTGTTTGCTGACAAACAGACAAACAACGCTTGTAAGCCAGTAGCAGACGTAACTGCTGCTATTCTTTCAGTATATGTCTTGGAATTTACAAATAAGCTCTTCCAGCTCTGTGAGCCGACATATGTGTTCTTGATTTATGTCTGAAAGGGTTCCAACTGTAGTTTTTGTGAAAAACTATCAACCAACCACTGTGCCTATGTGGTCCCTGCTTTTTGAGACACAGGCTTCCCATTTACCATGTCATAGTCCAGTTATGCGAAGACTGGAGGCCAAAAAAGAACATTCGACATGCTGTGCAAAATTCCTCATGCCGAATAAGCCAAGCTTTTTCTTTGTACGTCTAAACTTGACTTGAATAGAATCTAATTACCACTTTTTTCCAGAGGAAGACTCTGATTTGGATCATTTAATACATAATGTATCCAAATTTATCTATGCCACCTTTTGCTTGAGGAGCTTTACAGTGATAATGTGCTGTTCCTGAGCGCATGAGTCATTCCACAACTTCACAGCTGTAATATGAGGCCATTAGTTGCTTCTAGGGATGATTAGCTATTCTAACACAATCCAATGAATCCACTGAAACATCTTTTCTGTACTGCTCATGTTTTTTCCACTGCATTAAGCGTCTCTGTTGATCGTGTTCCTAGTAATATCACACCAAACCTTGCTGTCAGGGCTGAGATGTTGGCCTAAAGGTGCACACAGTATTCTAAGCTCTTAACAGGGGCATGTCAATGTTAAAAAAAAAAATTACAGCTGACGATACACACTGTGGCAGTCAACACGATATAGAAAGTCACTGTTACAAACACACTTGCAGTCACAGTGTAATCCCGGTACTGATGTTTGAAGCAGAGTTTTGTCTGTTTGTATGGGATGATGGAATTGATACACAGCCCTAAAAAGTATGGGCAGCTCAATGTAAAAGTCTTTAGAACTGTATACTGTAATGGTACCGAATGGGCGAAGCACCACATGGTGTTACATTTTCTTTGGCACATACATCAAAGAGCCACACTGCATATGCTGCTGTGAGGGTTCTGGTTTTCTTGCTTTGTTCATGTGAGAACAGCAAGTTCTCTGACCATCATCCAACAAATCTGGATCTATGTCTTTGTACCAAACGCTGCTCACTGGCTGTATAACTAACACAGCTTTTTGCTCATATTCATCTCAAGATTCACCAACATAATTCTGCCTTTGTTGTATTTTTGGGGCAGTTTTTACTTTTCTTTTTGGGATGTCAGTGGCAGATTTGTTGTTGTTGTTGTGTTTGTCCCCCTTAGCTGTAAAAAGCTGATAATGTAGTCACTTTTATTGAAAGTTCTTAAGAAACTCAACGGTCAGGGCTGAAATTCTGGAGAAATTTTGAAGTTCTTAAATTTAATGTGACCGTAAAGTTGGGGAAGCTTCACGGTAGAAATTTGAAGCGCTGAAGAATTACAAAAGCATTGGTGTTTCTTAATAGGTTGGCTGCTAATAAAAGTATGTCTCAGCTTAATGCTTGTTCTGTGTATAACCAACATGAGTTGGGAGTAATTGAGCTATTTAGTTTTTTGAGTTGATTGTTCTGTGTTCAGAGATTTGAGGCTGCCATGGGATTTTGTTTTTGTAAAGTTGAATGTAAATTTATTCTTCCAATAAAGTTTTGACAGGATTTTTTTTTATTTTTTTAAATGGAATAACATTTTAATCCTGTTCTGGACTCTTTGGTTCTTTGGTTCAAGCCTGTTTGAATTTCTAGCACTAGATTTGAACATGAATATCTCAGCCTAAAGTTTTAGTCAAAATGGACGAATCTATAATATGGGAGAGAAACATCAAAAATAGCTGTGTATTGGTAAACTATGTAAGAAAAAAATATGAGTAAGTATTTGATATTTGAAGCTTGAACATTTTATAGCAGCCATTATACAGGGTGGGCCATTTATATGGATACACCGTAATAAAATGGAAATGGTTGGTGAAATTAAAGTCCTGTTTGTGGCACATTAGTATATGTGAGGGGGCAAGCTCCTCAAGATGGGTGGTGACCATGGTGGCCATTTAGAAGTCGGCCATCTTGGATACAAAATTTTGTTTTTTCAATAGGAAGAGGGCCATGTGACACATCAAACTTATTGGTAATGTCACAAGAAAAACAATGGTGTGCTTGGTTTCAACGTATCGCCAACCATTCCCATTTATTACGGTGTATCCATATAAATGGCCCACCCTTTATATCCAAACCTTGGATGACAACAATTTAGGCAAATTGGAAGATGGTTTAACAGAAAATGTTCTAAAACTTTAGTGATTTCAGATGTAGTGACTCAGGTTTTAAACTATTTTGTTTTTGTGGTACAACTTGTCATATTTGCTACAGCCAGCTTGAAAGTTAAATGCCATTTTCTTAATTTGTGTGACTAGGAATTTCATGGTAAAAATGATTCTACATGTTTTATCTTGCAATATTGTGAACTTTGTTTATTTAGAAATTGCCGCCAGTTGTTTTGGGGTTTTTTGCCTTTTCTTATATTAGTGTGTCCTCAGATAGTCCAGCAGGAGCATTGGGCTTCTTTTCATATGTTTACGAGCCAATATTGAGACAATTTTTAATGCATCTATCGAAAATTACACACCTGATTCATTTGGTGGTAAGAAACACCAGTGAAAATTTCAGGCCTTTATTTTTATATATTCATGTTTAACATTGCAATGTGATTTCAATAGGTAAAAAAATTGTTTAAAAGTGGGCCATTTTTCCAAAAACAAGATACATCTTAAATTATCTATGAAGCTAAACTTTCCCAACATGCATTATATATGTCCAAACTTTGAGCCAAACATTTTATGCAAATTGGAAATGGTGAGCAGACAATGTTCTAGTAACTGTCTGATTTGAGGCGTGCTGAGCTGCCCCTAACTACCATGACCCATACAGTGGTGAGTCAGTGGTCACAGACTTCCACAGCTAGACAACAGCGCCCTGACTGCTGCTGGTATCGGGATGAAATCCTTGGATGGGTCCTGGGTTTATCCAGAGGATTCAATCCCCAGCCTCACTTGGCAAAAATGGTTATTCCAGGAATTGATACTATTCACTCTTCCCCATGCTTGTGTGACCTAAATCAAACACCTCTGGGACATTATTTTGTTGTCCATCTGAAGTTGCCGCGTTGTACCTGAGACCATCCAGGAGCTCAGTTATGCCTGGTCCAGATCTGGGAGGAGATCGCCCAGGACACCACCCTGATCTCATTAGGAGCATACCTTGATTTCATAGGCATGTGTATCGGCATGTAGGTCCCATAGAGAGTACCGTTTTGAGTTCCTGCTGTAGTAGGTTGATCAGTCATGGAGTGAATTCAATTTTATTCACGATCATTATCTAGAAGGTTCCAAGTGTGAAACTCAAACAAGTCCTTGTGGCAAGATGACATCACCACATGCCACCTGTTCTCTGACAGGTCCCAGGACTTCTGCTGTGAGACCTGTGGCTGTACCATGCGCTCTGCCCTCCTGGATCTAACCCCCAATAGCAACCCTGGTGCTGAAGACCATACGGCTAAAGAACTGGCTCAGCAAATCAACTTTAAGGTACAAACTCTGACTGTTACATGAGGCGGGTTAAATTCATAGTTCTTTTGTTTTATATTTTCTCTGTGCATGACAATTCATAACAAAGCTGATTTGATAATAATTGTTTAACTCGTATCACAACTTTCCATAATTATATTGAGAATACTGGAACTCCACAGATTATATCCAGAGCCTTTATTTATTAGAACCACAGAGCAGATGGGCCAAAAGCACTGTTCATTGTGTTAACCGTTCATTATTGAACATTGGAATGGAAGCTAACATAATCCCACTACAAAGATTATAAAGTCAGTGCATAATTTAGCAAATACCTATTAAGATAGTTCTCACCAATGTTTTGCAGTAGCGCAATAGGCATGCCCCTTATTTTTACATTTCTTTGTTTGAGAACTATGCAGGATGAGAATTAAAATAAATATGAGCAGCTTGACCTTTAAAAATCCGCTACTGGAAGAATGTAGGATGAATATATAGATTTGAGGTCTGGCCCCATACAAACGCAAGGCATGGTGTAGATACATAAATTGACTGTGTTTATGCAGGCAGAGTCCAGTTATCCAGAGAATCTAGTGAGAATGAAGGAGGAGAAAGTGAACCTTCAACCCACACCCAGGGACCCTCCTCTGCAAGCCAAGAAGCTGAAAAAGACCAGGCCGAACAGGTAGGTATCTTTTTTTTTTTTTTTTTTTTTTACACCACTCTTGTTTTACACAAGACAGCACATAACCTGCAGCCAGCTCGCCACCTACAGAGTTATCCATCCCAGTGGTTTTGTTTATTTATTCTGCATGCATGATACATGCATAAAGTCGGCTAGGAAACCAGATGTTTACAGAGTTGAGTCCTCTGAATTGTCTCTTCTCCCTGTTGTTAATTCCTCCCACCAGACGAGCACAGACATGTGCTTGCTAAAAATAAAACAATGATGATTTGTTTTCTTCACATGAGTTTCAGCCCCACTCTGCCCAAATGAAGAGATTTGTTTAACCAGTGTCCAGTGTCTTACTCCCTTTGAAGACTTTTTCACCCTTTAAATTGCTTTACATTATGATCCCACAATCTTCCATAACTGTTGGCAGTGATTCCAAAAACTGCCATGACTGGGAGTCTTTGAAGGTGAAACAACAATTTACCATAGGGATTGTACAGAGGGTATCATTCTTTTAACCTGAGTAAAACTCCATTGTAACTTATATTGAACACATAACAAAGTAGATTTTCGGCATAAAACTGGCTCCAAGTACCACATTTTAATTTATTTTTTGCATTACATTCATTTGCTAACTTTCATGTGTGTTCTGGAGCAGTTGTTTATCCAAGGAAGTACAAAATTCTAAGTCATAGTTTTAATAAATACATTTTGTCTATAATTTGCACTATTAGCACAGGTTGTGGCATCAGCACAAAACAGTGCCATCTCTCCCAGTATGTCATATCACATATAGAATAATATAATATATATAAACATTTGATATAGAGTAGTAGTATCGTATAGTTGAAAAAAAAAATGTCAGTTTAAAATTCAGTTTCGGCTAAAATGTATTCTCATGTTTCATAATTAAAAGTATTGTCAAATGTTTGCAAGAACAACTTTTGTATTTAGTCCAGTCCATTTTTAACATTTACGTAAAACATCACATAAAGCTGTCAGGTTATAATTCATGTTTTTCACGTAATCTAGCCATGCAATTCATCCATATTCCACTTATCGATTGTGGAGGGGCTGTCCCAGCTGTTATAAGGTGAGAGGCAGGGTACTACCCTGAATAGATCACCAGTCTGTGTCAAGACCAACACAGAAAGACAGCGCACGCACATTCACACCTATAGGTAATTTAGATTCTCCCCATTAACTGCATGTCTCTGAGAAAAGGCCCGTGGCCAGATAGTGAACTTCAACCCATTCAAACACTTCTTGCTGTGAGGTTATAGTGCTAATCACTGTGTCACTGTACTGTCCATCCAGTGTGTCATTTTAGACACTCGTGTTTAACATTGTAGAAGATGTGTCATGGTAGCTTAAAGCCTGTGATACCATGGCTTCTCTTCATAAGTTGTGATATGGGTGAGCTTTGTTGCCTAAGAGGATTGATTTTGGTGCCAGCTGCTACCCACAGAAGCACAGAGACTGAGTGTGAAGGAGTACTGTGGAGGGTCAACTTAGATCAGTGCTGCTGCGTTAGGATAAACTAAGGAGGGACATATCAAAAATAGTACTCACCATCTGCTGCTAGAATTGGGGAGGGGGGGGGGTTAAAACTGCAGAATCAGACAGGCTGGCATTCCACACTGCCTCTATGCTGCTGATGATGATGATAAATGATCATCATCAATGCATCCAGACAAAAAAATGCAAAAAAACTATTTAAACATAAAAAAATCACAAAAAAAGAACAACATGGTATCCACGACTCAAGCAAAGACCGAAGCAAAAATGTGGATTATTAAACAGGCCATTAATTAGTACATTAATTAAAAATTTAATAACAAATTGATTTTTTTCTGCTTTACAGAAACCTGGTTAGACGAGGAGGATTATGTTAGTTTAAATGAACCACGAGTTATACTAATTTTCCGAATCTTCGAAGCACAGGCTGAGGCGGTGTGGCGGCACTCCAGCTTATTAATCAGACTCAGAGTTTTAATATATTTGAAGGCCTGTTGAAAACCAGTTTTATTTGTGATCATCTATCGTCCACCTGGGCCTTACACAGTTTCTGTCTGATTTCTCAGACTTGTTATCTGATTTAGTGCTCGTCTCAGATAAAATAATTACTGTTGGTGATTTTAACATTCATGTAGATGCTAAAAACATTTATTCTATTATTAGACTCAATTGGCTTTTATCAAAATGTAGAAGAACCCACTCTCCACTTTAATCACACTTCTAGATCTTTTTATGATATATAGCAGAGAAACTGAGTATTTAATAACATTTCCTGAAAACCTTTTGTCTTATTTTTTTTTCCCTAATAACATTTTAATTTATAATAATGTATTACACAGTAGGGCTGCTCAATTAATCGAATTTTAATCACGATTACGATCTGGGCTTTCAACGATCATTAAAAGTGACTGAGCCGATTATTAGCACCTCCCTCGTGCTTTACTCTCGCGCTGCTCCGTGTGGCAAACGAGCGCACCTCTTGTTTCGAACACACGTCACAACAATTAAGAGGACCCGAGGGAAGCTCAGAAAGCTAAGCAGAAGTTATTTGGAGAGGAGAGTGACTGCCGCTGGTTGAAAAGAGGTAAAAAAAACTTCAGTGGTTTGGAAACATTATGGGTTCGCGGAGTCAGACGTGGATCAAGTAGACACAGTGTGTAAACTTGCTACGGTGTCGTAGCTGCACCACAGAGCAACACTGCAAAGTTCACTAAACATAGATGTTTACATTTTTCATTTATTTCTTATATTGCAAACATTTGCACTGTTATCAGTATTTCTCACACTATTTTATATTATTTTTTAAAGTCATTATTCAATACATTGTTATTGTTAACCCTTTAAAGCCGGTGTTCTGACAAACCATCCTACTTTGGCAAAACGTCCTACCCGTAGGATAATTTTACGCTGCCATATGACAAACTGCCCTACTTTGGCAAAATGTCCTACTGTATGTAATTTATGCACATTTCTGCTGCCAAACAATAATTCCAGCACAAATTTAAGTAGGTATGACGGTTTGCCACTTAACTTTGCCCATCAGAGTATGTTTGTAGCTGATATTCATAAAGCCAGTTCAGTTTGACACTTTTTTTTACCCATTAAAGTGTGCTTGTAGGTCACATTCACATAGGTAGCATGTTTTGGCACGTAATTCTTCCCGTCAGAGTATGCGTCTACTTTATAATAACAACGGTAGCATGTTTTAGCACATAATTCTTCCCGTCAGAATTATGCTTCTTGCTCTTATTAACAAAGGTAGCATGTTTTGGCACGTAATTCGTCCCATCAGAGTATGCTTCCAGCTTATAATAACAACAGTAGCATGGTTTGGCACGTAATTCTTCCTGTCAGAGTATGCTTCTAGTTTATAATAACAACGGTAGCATGTTTTGGCACTTGTTTGTAGAAGCAGTCTGCATGCCAAGGTGCTTAAGTTATACAGCTGTCACCACTGAAGTGATTGGAACACCTGACTATATAAACTTTGACAATGAACTCACTCCATTATAGTTACAGTATATATTTACTGAATATATTTACAGATACATATATTTGACGTTTATAGATCAACAGAACACAGGGAGAAAGAACTGAAAAGAAACGGTGTACAAATTATGCACATTTGTCGCACAGGTACTTGACCACATCCAAAATGTGCCCATCTGGAACAAAACTCGCACTGCACCTGAAGAGGGAGAAGGGGGGGTGTAAGTGTGTTAACCAACATTATGAATTTGATGAGAAAATAATTACTACAGTGGCTTGCAAAAGTATTCGGCCCCGTGAACTTTTCCACATTTTGTCAGATTGCATTCACAAACATGAATCAATTTTATTGGAATTCCACATGAAAGACCAATGTCTCTACCAGTCTCTAGCTGGTAGAGACAGACCCTAAAAGACTGGCAGCTGTAATTGCAGATAAAGGTGATTCTACAAAGTATTGACTCAGGGGGATGAATAATTACCCCACTTTTCAGTTATTCATTTGTAAAAATTGTTTGGAATCATGTATGATTGTTGTTCCACTTCTCACGTGTACACCACTTTGTATTGGTCTTTCACGTGGAATTCCAATTAAAATTGATTTGTGTTTGTGGCTGTAATGTGACAAAATGTGGAAAAGTTCAAGGGGGCCGAATACTATTGCAAGCCACTGTATATTGCATTTGTGGTTTATTTGTTTTACCATTTCAATCATACTGGAGTCTGGATCGGCTTCCAGCATGGAACAAACCACACAGTAGTCATCAGCATTACCTAGAAACACACTGACATTAAACCTAACAGTTTTAAACAAAACTGAAAGTGCTATTGCAATACAAAAGCACATGACTCAACTTACTTTGATGTTCTAGCAGTTCGCAAGCAATTTCAGTGCGGTGCAGCCCAATGGCTTCTGGAGTGGACAGCACCCTAGTAACCTCTCCACTCAGAAGGTAGTGTTCGGCAAACTGTAAAATATGTTACAGTAATTGCAATTGATTAACTTAATTCTAGTTTAATACATTAAATACAATTGCTTATTAAATACCTTCAACACTAAAACTCCACAACTGCTGGAGTCCATCTGCTTGTTGTGTGGCAGAGTCTCCATTTTCCAATCCACTCGGGACTCTTCCTTTCCTTTCATCTTCAGAAAATTCCTAATAAAAACAAAACAGGTTTTTAAAATGTAGCCAGCATTTTGCTCTAAATAAAAAGAAAAAACCCCACAAACCAAACAACCTAAAACAGATAATTAATGAATGATGAATACCTCCAGTTACGCATAACTTTCCTTTCATAACAACCTTCATTTCCAAGAGGGTCTAACAGCAGTACAGATTGTGAGGAGATTTTGACAACCTAAAATAAAATTGTATTTAGTAGAATATGTGTATTACACTCACGTAAGTAAACATAATCAATTGTAAACATTTTCAAAATAAGAATATGCTGCTAAAAAGAACAGTAAAACAAAATAGAGAAAAAACACATGAGGTGTGAACATGTACCACAAGTATCCAGTGTGCACCAGAGTTCAGTGGGCACAACCAAATGTCCTCAGCCGGAAACAACATCTGTGGAATATTTTTAAGTTTATAAAGGTTTAGATTTATTTACATAACATACACTATATAACCAATATAACATCTACATTACATTGCTGACACATTTAAACTTCCCAGAAAACAGAGAGGTTGCAACAACGCAAGACAACTGATACACGGGTTTCTGAAAAATGCAAGATTATTATTATTTTTTTTTTTTTAAATGATTACAAAATTTTATAAAATACCTTTGTGAAATAACTGGCATACGTTCTTACTTGCCTTTTGTTTCTTAATGAGGCAGTGCAGGTATGCATCAATGACCTGTTTGGATTAAAAGAAGATTATTTTTACAGACCACCACTAGGACCAAAAATGATTATTTCACTTACCTCATCAGAAAGCCACCCACTATCCTCCAGTGTGCGAAAAGAAGAGTCATACAATTTGTATGGCCCAACGACTGCCTCCACACGCCCGGTGTCTTTTGCAGCCCAAAGCCACTTCACTAAAAAACAAAATATGATAAGTTTCTTTAGTAATAACAATTGCCATTTGAAAATCACGGTCAATGGCCAACGGGCCACAAGCAGACAAGGGCCAACGGGCCAACAACATAAACATGCCAGAGGGGAGTAGCTTTATGTAAATCAGAAATTAGCCAAAATTGGACCAACAGGTCAAAATTAGCAAGAGGGGAGAAAAAAATAAAACATTCTATCCATCTGACTAGCCAAACAGGCAACAATTGACCAACCGGTCAGAATGAGATTTTTAGCTATGCCACCTTTTCTTGCGTGCTGGGTTTCTGGGGGGTCACTGGTACAAGCTCTTCTGGTGCTTGGACTGATTTTACCTGAGCTATTTTTGGTGCAAACTGAATGACAGAGGATCTGTTATTTTGCAGCGCTTCATGTTGATGCTGAGGACTGCAAGGCCACATCTCAGAAGATGGGCTACTCTCAACAGGTTCAGCTGGTGTTGAGACTTGGACAGGGTGGCTTGTTCTATAGGGTTTAATGTGGTCAATACTGTATAGACTTTTTAAAGTATTTCCCTCAGCGTTTTTCAGTCTAACACATTTTCCACTGAAGTCATCAATTGTGTAGGGACCTGAAAAATCCGGTTCAAGTCTTCCTCCTTTTCGCCCACGTTTCCTCATATTTAGAAGCAGAATTTGATCCCCTACATTGTACACAACATTTTTGTACTTTTTCAGGGCCCGCTTGGCATATGCAACCTTTTCCTTGTCTTGTGACTTCGCAATGTTTTCTTGTGCAGTTCTTTAACTGCATGTTGTGCTTCACTTTCAGACTGTACATAGTCACTGTACCTTTTGTCGTCTGGCAGAATGATGTTGGAAATCTAAAATTTTGTAGATATTAGCAATTAAAACAAGATGATATCATATTCATAAAGACATTACTGGGTTTTTTTCTTAAATGGTTTCAATTCTTAGTTCTAACATGGAAAGAATTTGACAAACACTCACCGGCACTTGAACAGGCACTTCTGATGGAAATACTGCCTCTCTTCCATACATCAGAAAAAAAGGTGTGTATTTTGTTGTGGTGTGTACTTTTGACCGAAGTGAAAACAGGGTGGGCTCTAGATACAGATCCCAGTTATTCTGCTGGTCATTCACCAGTTTTCGGAGGGCTCTAAATGCAGGCATAGAAATATGTAAACACAGTAAGTAAGACAAAGTTTAATTAGAAGTAAAGAAATTAATAAATTATTAAGTAACAATTAAGTTTGAATAACATAAGTAATGTTATTAAAAACTGATAGATAAAAATTAGGCATACCTTTTTATGTTGTCATTGGTCTTTTCATCTAGACCATTCGTCTGTGGATGGTATGCTGCTGTGACACTTCTTTCAATTTGCAATAACTTGCAAAGATCAGAGTTGAGCTTCAACAGATAAGGACAAGGTTATACTGCTTATACAAGCACACAAGAAAAAATCTTTGACCCCAGTGAAGTAAAGTTAAAAAATGTAACTGAAAATTATTTAACACTTACTTCATTCACAAACTCTCTGCCTTGGTCTGACAAAATCCTTTTGGGGCAGCCATGTCTATATATAATGGAGCACAAGTGCTGGGCTACCTCAGATGCAGATTTCGTTTTTAATGGGAAAGCTTCAACCCATTTTGAAAAGTAGTCAGTTGCAGTAAGTATATACTGGAAGCCGCTTGAAGTTTTAGGAAGAGGTCCAGTAAGATCTATACCAATAAGTTCCCACACTTCAGACACCTATCAAGGACAAATTAATAATTTGAATAACAATTTGTATAATGTACACATTAACATTGATGGTTAAAATTAGTTGGCAAACCCTCCTGCCTTTATGAATATGAGCTACAAGCATAGTTTGATGGGTAAACGGGGCATAATATTTACCTGAATACACTGCAACGGTTGCACAGCAGTCAGTGGTTTCCCAACTTTTTGACACTGGTCACATTCCTGAATCTTTAAGGTAAAAATATTTATGGAGTTCACGTAAATGTTCAACATTCTCATTTGTAAAAAAACAAAAACACTTAATGACATATTCTCTAACGAACAAACTATTTAGCAACAATAGTTTGTGTGCGTGTCTTCAAATCTCTGCCAGGCCTACGGGTTATTACTGTAATATCACTAATTAACCATATTTATTTATATTTTTAACTGATATCAAAAAATGTGCTTATTTTAAACACTATTTAACAACAGTACAAACAGTTAATACATACCCATGTTTTAATGTCAACTGTCATACCAAACCAGTAAAATCTGGAACACACTGCATTTAGCGTTTTGTGTGTGCCAGTGTGTCCTCCAATTGGAGATGAATGAAACTCATGAAATATCTTCCTGGCATCATCCATGGTTTTTACTACTCTTCTGGTTCCAACAAAGAGTTCTCCATCTGCAGTAAAACAATATATATTTAGAAATTAATTTAACCACATATATGAGTTGTTAGTATTAACAGTAAATTACTGACCCTTTTGTTTGAATTTTGAGGCATATCTTCTGAGGTTTTGCCTCTGAGCCTTGTCATATCCTGAAGGGTAGGAGCCCGCAGAAATGAACGCGTAAATCTCTTCCCACTTCTTCTCCATATCTACGAATGTCAGTAAACATTTTCTTATGAGCTTCAATATGTGCAGTTGACAATGCAAATAATTTAACTTATTAAATAACGAAATTACCGAAACAGCCTTAAAACACCGAAGCTGCGGACTCAAAAGTGTTGTGCAAATACCACGTGTCCGGTAACTTGACAGCAGACTTCACCGAATCTGCAAATTCGACAGTTTTGTGCAGAAAGCAGATAGCGACTTCACTTTAATATTGACAAACAATCACAAAGGCTTAAAAAATCAAGTATCAACGTCAATAAAAAGTACTAATACTTACTACTTACCTATTCTCCTGCAAATATGACAATGGAGTAGCGTGAAATCACAGCCGGATGCGCTTAGCTTCCCTTTTTGTGTTGTGCGCATGCGCGCACATGCTCAGGAACTACGGGTAGGACGGTTTACGGGGTAGGAGAAATTCCCAGAACACCGGTCAGAGCAGCACGCTCTGTTTTGTGTAACTATTTTTAAATCCCTGTAGAACCGGAACCGCTAAGCTAGCGCAATAATTTTTTTTTGCATATGAAACCGGAGGAGTTGTACTTACATCTTATGCCATCAGCTTGTCCTCGGTCACGGTTTCCTTCCACATAAAGCTTTGCAAAAATTGCATAAAAAGCGCTTGCAGGAACAAAAACATAATATTCCAGAAACAGCTTTGCCATCTGATCAGCTGTTCGTTCCCACATTGAAATAGACGTCAGCGCGAACTATCGCATGTCCGCCATTTCCTGCCAGAAACCGGAAGTGACGTCATCTTCGTGGAACGTGAAGTTTTTTTTACTTGTAGGCCTTAAAAACCTATACTGGTGTTTTTATAAGTCATGTTTGACTTTTCTGAATAGTTGCTGGGATGCTTAGAACTCATATTGCACTGCTGGAAATAGTTTTTATTTTGATGCACCTGCTGTTTTCTTTGCAAATTTGAATCATAGGATTGTTTTTTTTGTTTTTCCTGCACTATATAAAAATTGCTTTATCTCCAAAATAAAATTATGAAGACACTCAAAATAAATTTCCTGTTGTTGTAAACTATTTTTTGCATTTAAAGTTTTGAGGGACAAACCTCTTAAATTTCTCCAAGAAATATATGTAAAAAACAAAAATGATTTTCAATTTTTTTGTAGTTTATTGCACTTTTTTGTAATTAATGTAGTTACTATGGACTTAATGCATACATATTATTAAAATATGGGCTATAACAGTTGTATTGATGTATAGCAACTTGAAATGCTCCCAATGGCACTATAACATGTAAAAAAATAATATAAGCTCTGGCGGACTTGGTTCTATAGTAGGTCGTAAGGGTTAAATAAATATCGTCAAATAATCGAGATCTCAATTTCAGTGAAAATCGTGATTATCATTTTTGCCATAATCGAGCAGCCCTATTACACAGCAGTGGGGATAAATTCATCCACTGTCTTCTACAATGACATGTGCAGCACGGTTACTTGAACGTTAGTCCAACAGAGGTCGATTATCTTGTTAATAATTTTATTTCTTCACTGCATATGACTCTGGATACTGTAGCTCCTGTGAAAAAGAGAGCCTCAAATTAAAACTACTTTCAACTCTCTGGTATAACTCTCTAACGCGCACCTTAAAGGTGATGACTTCAAATCAAATCAAATTAAATCACTTTTATTGTCACATCACATGTGCAGGTACATTGGTACAGCACATGTGAGTGAAATTCTTGTGTGCGAGCTTCACAAGCAACAGAGTTGTGCAAAATACAATAATGTAAACAAAAAATACAAGAATGGCTACATCTGAAACTAATAAATATATGTACTTCTGGATGTGTATACTAAATATTTTTCTGTGTGTGTGTGTGTGTGTGTGGTGTGTGTGTGTGTGTGTGTGTACACATATTTACAAATTAAATAGAGTAAACAATAAATAGAATATATAAAATAAAATATACAGAGTGAGACATGTGCAAAACAGTGGCATTACTGTACAGTATGGAGTGCATAATGTTAAAGTTCCAGTAGTGAAGCTGAGGTGTCTATGACGTGTTCAGCAGTCTGATGGCCTGATGGAAGAAGCTGTCTCTCAGTCTGCTGGTACGGGACCGGATGCTGCAGAACCTCCTTCCTGATGGAAGTAGTCTGAACAGTTTATGGCTGGGGTGACTGGAGTCCTTGATGATCCTCCCCGCTTTCCTCAGGCAGCGCTTCCTGTAGATGTCTTGGAGGGAGGGAAGCTCACCTCCAATTATCCGTTCAGAGCACCGCACTACTCGCTGGAGAGCTTTGCAGTTGTAGGCGGTGCCATACCAGGTGGTGATGCATCCAGTGAGGATGCTCTCAATGGCACAGTGATAGAAGGTCCTGAGGATGCGGGGGCTCATGCCGAATCTTTTCAGTCTCCTGAGAAAGAAGAGGCGCTGCTGCGCCTTCTTCACTGTTTTGTTTGTGTGTACTGACCACGTAAGATCCTCAGCCAGGTGTACGCCAAGGAACCGGAAGCTGCTCACTCTCTCCACAGCAGCGCCGTTGATGGTGATGGGGGTGTGTACTTCTCTGCACCTCCGGAAGTCCACTATCAACTCCTTTGTCTTTGCGACGTTGAGGGTGAGATGGTTGTCTTGACACCAGTGGGTCAGGGCGCTGACCTCCTCCCTGTAAGCCGTCTCATCACTGTTGGTGATAAGACCCACCACTGTAGTGTCGTCCGCAAACTTCACAATGATGTTGGAGTTGTTAGTGGCCGTGCAGTCGTAGGTGTAGAGTGAGTACAGGAGAGGGCTCAGTACACACCCCTGTGGAGCACCAGTGTTCAGTGTGACGGGGGATGAGGTGATGCTGCCCAGTCTGACCACTTGGCGTCTGTCAGACAGGAAGCTAAGGATCCAGCTGCAGAGGGAGCTGCTCAGTCCTAGATCCTGCAGTTTCCTGTCCAGCTTCGAGGGAACGATGGTATTGAATGCTGAGCTGTAATCTACAAACAGCATCCTCACATACGTGTCTCTCTTCTCCAGGTGTGACAGGGCAGTGTGTAGTGTCAGGGCTATGGCATCATCAGTGGACCTGTTGTGGTGGTATGCGAACTGTAGAGGGTCCAGTGAGTCGGGTAGTGCAGAGCAGATGAAGTCCTTGACCAGCTTCTCGAAGCATTTGCTTACGATGGGGGTCAGGGCTACAGGTCGCCAGTCGTTCAATGAGGAGATGGTGGAGGATTTGGGTACAGGGACGATGGTGGCCATTTTGAAGCAGGCTGGGACTACAGACAGAGAGAGGGAAAGGTTGAAGATGTGCGTGAACACTCCAGCCAGCTGAGCCGCGCATGACTTGAGGACGCGGCCGGGAATCCCGTCCGGACCAGTAGCTTTGCGCGCGTTCACCTTCCTGAAGCACTTCCGCACATCCTCCTCAGACACAGTGTGCGCACTGACGTCATCCGCGGTGCGCACACTGTCCGGTCTCATGGTGTTCGCTGTGTCGAATCTAGCGTAGAATACGTTTAGATCCTCACACAGAGAGGCCGTGGTCTGCGGTGTGCTGGTTTTCCCTCTAAAGTCTGTGATCGTGTTTAGTCCCTGCCACATACTCCGAGGGTTGTCAAACTGTTGCTCCACCCTGTCCCTGTACTCACGTTTGGCTGCTTTGATCGTCTTCCGGAGTTGGTAATGTGCGTGTTTGTAGTCCGATGTGTTCGCGGAGGCAAAGGCGGTGCTCCGTGCCGCCAGTGCCGCGCGAACATCTCCGTTAATCCAGGGTTTTTGATTTGGGAAGGATTTAACTGTTCTGGATGGGACGACATCTTCCACGCATTTCCTGATAAATCCACAGACTGAGTCTGTGTATTCATCAATGTCCCTAGCAGCCACGTGAAACATTTCCCAGTCCGCGTGATCAAAACAGTCCCGCAGCGCAGACTCCGAATGGTCCGTCCAACAGTGCACCGCCCTCCGGGTTGGAGCTTCCTGTTTCAGCTTCTGCCTGTAGGCGGGCAGGAGCAGGATGGAGCGGTGATCTGATTGGCCGAATGGGGCGCGGGGGAGGGCTTTGTACACATCCCGGAAAGAGGTGTAGCAGTGGTCGAGTAGCCGATCTCCACGAGTGTTAAAATGGATATGTTGGTGGAGTTTGGGTGAGACTTTCTTCAGGTTTCCCTTATTAAAGTCTCCGGCTGTGATAAACGCCGCCTCTGGGTGTGCGGTTTCCTCGCTGCTGATCGCGCTGTACAGTTCCCTGAGTGCTCGGTCAGTGTCGGCTTGTGGGGGAATGTAAATAGCCGTAATAATCACTGCTGTAAATTCCCTCGGTAGCCAGAATGGCCGGCACTTAATCATCAGGTACTCCAGGTCCGGTGAGCAGAAGGATTTGACCGGGTGCACGTTCGCATAATCACACCAGCTGTTGTTGATCATGAAACACACACCACCGCCTCTGCTTTTCCCAGTAAGATCCTGTGACCTGTCCGCGCGATGCACGGAGAACCCCGGTAGTTGTATTCCGGAGTCTGGTACCTTGTCTGATAGCCAGGTTTCTGTGAGGCAGATCACGCAGCAGTCCCGCATCTCTCGCTGGAATGAGATCCGTGCCCGAAGCTCGCACAGCTTGTTCTCCAGAGACTGCACATTAGCCAGTAATAAACTGGGTAACGGTGGTCTGTTAGTGCGCCGTCTCAGTCGAACCAGAACGCCAGATCTTCTCCCTCTGCGTCTGCGTTTGCGGCCTCCAGGGCCAGAGAACAAAGGCGTCTCAGGTGAGATGAATGGGGGGTCTGCAAACGGAGCGTCCGTGTTGCAAAACTTGAACTCCGGAAAGTTATAAGAAAGACCGTCTTTTATGTCCAGTAAGGTTTGTCGGTCGTACACAAGGAGACATGTGCTACTCGCGAAAAAATGAAGGAAAAGTAAAATTAAACACAGAAAAAAGCTGTTGCTTGGGGGAGCTCGCGACAAGGCTGCCATACTCGGCGCCATCTTGTTCTTGTTCAACTTGTAGGCTGGAGAGGAAATGGCGTGTCACAAATCTGGCAGATCATCATTTAGCCTGGAGAAATAGTTTGTTGCTTTATAAGAAAGCCCTCCATAAAGCTAGAACATCTTACTATTCATCACTGATTGAAGAAAATAAGAACAACCCTAGGTTTCTCTTCAGCACTGTAGCCAGGCTGTCAAAAAGTCAGAGCTCTGTTGAGTCACCCATTCCTTTAACGTTAACTAGTAATGACTTCATGAACTTCTTCACAAATAAAATTTTTACCATTAGAGAAAAAAGGACTCATAATAATCTCACAGAGATAACATTATGTACAACTACTTTCAGTACCATTAATATTCATTTAGTCTTTTTCTCCAATTGATCTTTCTGAGTTAACTCAGGGAATTACTCCCTCCCAGCCATCATCATTTCTTTTAGATCCCATTCCTGCTCAAAAAATGTTCTAACATTAATTAGTGCTTCAGTC